AATTGGTCTTTGACTCTTGCCAAAATAAAACAGAGGGAGGGGGGCTTTTGAGTAATTAGTTATTTTCCCACATAAAACAACACTCGGAATGCTAGTTAGGACAGTCGTGGTTGTTGGTGTACTCTTTGTATTGGCTCTTTGTGACTGGAGACCCTCTTTAGGATTGAATTATTAAGTCGTTTTCACTTACTAAAAAATGTCATTATAACTTTTATATTAAAGGACCATTTTTATATAAATTTGTATTTCATGAGAAAATATATCTGGACTTAGCGAATAAGTCCCATGATGGATATAAAATTGTATGCGGCTGGGGGTTCTGGTGTTTGTGAATGGGGTACCCTCCAGTTTGGCTGGTCCCCTCACTGGCCAATGATGTAAACATCCATTTTGGTGATTAATGAATGCATACCAATTATCGTTTTTGGCAAAAAAAAAACAAGTATATAATGTATTTGTGGCATATATATGGGGAGAGATTCGAATTTGGGTGCAAGGAGGTTGAATTATGAATATATGATTTAAACCTTTCACTTTTGACGATTATCATAGCACCCTCTTGGTTTGTATTGGTCAAGGTCATTCATATATTGCTAATTATCTTACAAGAACGACCAATGGAGAAGATAAAATCTATAGATCTTATATGCTATAGGGATCGGATCTAAATTACTCTTTTATTTTCAAAATTTTCCCCTTTGTAATTTCTATATCAAATCCATGTAATACTAAATCCAACTTCCTTACGCTGATGAGTGGAACATAAGACTTTCACCATATGAAAGTGATGCCATTGTTATTTATTTTTTTACTGAAACTAACACTTTGGGTCAATATTGAAGGCTTGAAGGTAAAGTAGCACTAATCACTGGTGGGGCGAGCGGCATAGGAGAGTCCACTGTACGACTCTTCTCAAAACATGGAGCAAAAGTTGTGATTGCAGATGTGCAAGACGACTTGGCTGAATCTGTTTGCAGAGACCTAAGCTCTTCGTCCACTTCATTCGTCCATTGCGATGTAACAAAAGAAGAAGACGTTGAAAATGCTGTTAAAACAGCCACAAGCAAATATGGAAAGCTAGACATCATGTTCAACAATGCAGGCATAGCTGGTATAGCAAAAACCAACATCCTTGACAATGACAAGGCAGAATTTGAGCAAGTGATTGGGGTAAATTTGGTTGGTGTGTTTCTGGGGATCAAACATGCAGCTCGCGTTATGATCCCAGCTGGCCAAGGGAGCATAATTAACACTGCCAGTGCTTGTTCCACCATTGGGGGGTGCGCATCACATGCGTACACGAGTTCAAAGCATGGTGTACTAGGGCTGGTGAGAAATACGGCCATAGAGCTTGGACAACACGGTATTCGGGTGAATTGTGTGTCGCCGTATATAGTTGCCACGCCGTTGTCGAAGGACTTCTTTAAGCTTGATGATGATGGAGTTCATGGTGTTTATTCCAACCTTAAAGGTGGGGTTCTTAAGGCAGAAGATATTGCTGAAGCTGCTCTTTACTTGGGAAGTGATGAGTCAAAGTATGTTAGTGGGCATAATCTTTTGGTAGATGGAGGCTTCACTATTGTGAACGCAAGGTTTTGCATGTTTGAACAGGCTTGAGAAAAATGTTCAATGTAATAAGTTGGCAAAATAAATAAAGGAATGCCTAAACACATATGTTGTTTAGTTCCAACTGAAGAATTTCAAACTCTTGCTCTGATCTTGGGTTCACTTTCTTTGAGAATCCTCTTCTTAATGTGGAAGATGATTTCTTGGATTTCTCCAGTACAAGAGCCATTTTGTACTAGCCCAATGGAATGTTTGTCTCTTTTGCTTTGTTTTCTACTTGGGCTTTGAGCCTTTGTTGTGAAAGAGTTCAATAAAATAACATTTAATTCACTATCCTTTTTCTTCTCAAAAATCTTCTTCTGTTTTTTTTTTTACATTGGAGGAAATAAATTCCACTGGGGTTCGATCGTGGGTGCCATAAGAGGAGGGGCAATCCACCACCACTGTGGTGGAAACCCATTAGCTCAAAAATCAATTTTTGAGTTCAAGCTTTATAAGTGATATGTCATAGTTGCGATATTGGACATATGAGAAAAGAAGAGATTTTTATTTTTTATTTTTAAATTAGGGAAACATTATAGACCATGAGGTGGGCAGTAGGGGTGGACACGGTCCGATTCGGTCTGATTTTCATCTCAAATCGAAATCAGAATTTATACTATTTAACCGGTCCAATTTGGTATAGTTTTAGTGAAAAAAAAAATTATAAAACCAACTAGTTCAGTTTGAATCAATTCTAGTTTGGTTTCCAATTCAGTCCAATTTTGGATCAGATTATTATTATTATTATTTCAAATTATTATTTTATATAAATTCTAACTAAAATTTTATTTTATGGGCTTAAAAAAACAAATAAAGGGCTTGGAGTTGGGCTTGATGGCTTGGAACAGTATTTGGGCTTGAAGAAAGATTAGGCCTGGAGAAAAAAATTGGGTTTGGGCTAATATTATATAAATAAATAACATATATTTAAGCCGGTTCGGTTTGGCTTGGTTTAGTCTTTTTACTACAAGAACTGGACCAAACTAGTCCAATTTAGTTTTTGGTCAACTCGGTCTAGTTTTTGGCCAACTTGGATTTTTTTGGTCCAATTCGACTTAATTTTTTGGTTTGAATGCCTAGCCCTAGTGAGAAGGTTTACGGAGATTTTGGGGAAAAAAAATATTGCTAAGACATTGAAATGGAAGAAGAAAAGACTAATGGCTGCAAGACGTTAAGTCAAGTGGGGTTTTTTTCTTTTTTAATTGTGAGGAAATTGAGCTATTATCTTAAGGTAATGTGTCAACTTTAAGTTTCTTGAATTAAATAGGAAAAAAATTAAACATATAATTAGCGTAGAAGATCCGAAAAGAGGATTTAGATACCACAAAAAAAAAATCCCCAAATTGCAATAAATTGCTTTAAATGATTAGCAATTTGACTCAAGAGGCCATGATTAGCAATCTCCTTCCCTACCCACCTCCCCTCTCTTCTCCTTCCCTCCCTCCCCCCTTTCCCCTCATGATCATTCTTTGTTCTTTTGTTTTGTGATGTGGAATTAGACACCGTGAAAACTGTCTTCATTGCCATGAAATTGTCGCTGTCTTTTGACCCCACGTATACGAGTGGATCTACGTGTGGGCTAGAGTGGGCTCTAGCCAATGTTGAATTTTTAGAATATACAACTACTTAGACTATGTTGTCCAAGCCCAAACTAGGTAAATCAAATATTAGCCTACACCTCTATGTAGAAATAAGCCCACCTCTGTATAATCCCAGCTTTAGATTGATTGGAATCCATGTGATGCAACTTTGGAGCCCGTGTGATGCATTTTTATTAATAAAAATAAATACTTTTTTATATAATAAATGTTGTTGATATGTGCTCCCATTGGCCTCACAACCTTCAAAAGCAACGCCCCACGTGCTCCATAAAGGTAATATAATGGATTGTTTATTATAAAAGTAAATGATAATTTCCTCTTTGTCCTGCTCCATTTTGTGTGTTGCAACACAATGTTTTCTTATAAATTGTTTTTTTTCTTCTTCTTGAAAACCTTTAAATTGTTTTCTAGAGATTAAAGGTACAAATATAAGCATTAGGTTCTGGTTTTTTCTCTGTAATTCTTTTTCTGCTATACTCTTTCCTCTGCTCAATCCATATTGTTATGATGGTACCAAAGCTCATCTTGATACTTCTATAATTTCTCATATCTTTTTTTCAATTTCTATTTTATGAAGCTCCGTTCTGATTTTAGGCACAAAGCCTTTACTAAATTTCCGAACTTTTCAATTTCTTTGAGATTCTTCTGTGTTCTTTTTTGAATTTTTGGTTCTTTTAAGTTACTTTTGCTTCCCAAAGCTTGGCTTATATGATGATGGTTTACCATAACCACTGTTATATGGGGAAAAAACATAACTAACATTATAATAGATATCGCAAAACAAAAAAAAATTATTTAGTACACCCCCATAAAAATTTCTGGATCCGCCATTGCCCACATATATAAGGAAGATATCGGGTTGTGTTGAGTTTCGGTTTAGCCAATGCAATACTATGGATTTAGCCGGTATGGCACTATAAAGGGCGAAACCAAGAATTTTTCAACAGGTGGGCGACTAGCTAAAGTTATATTTAAAACAAGTCAAATATATATGTTTGACTTTTTTTAATCCCCCAAAACACATATTATCAAAAATAAAAATAAACAAGTCAAAAATATATGTTTGACTTTTTTTAATCCCCAAAATACATATTATCAAAATAAAAATAAACAAGTCAAATATATATGTTTGACTTTTTTTAATCCCCCAAAACACATATTATCAAAATAAAATAAACAAGTCAAATATATATGTTTGACTTTTTTTAATCCCCCAAAACACATATTATCAAAATAAAAATAAACAAGTCAAATATATATGTTTGACTTTTTTTATTCCCAAAAATATCCCTAGGCTACAACCCATTGTAGCCATTAATTTAGTTCCGCAAAAGGGCGCTATGGATTTTTTGGGTTGCACGATATGGAGCGGTGGTCTTGCTTCTATTTTTTTTCTTTTTCTTTTTTTTTCTTCCATTTAGCTTTGATTTTCGATATGAATTTGCCATTTTTAACGTTGTGTGGCGATTCTGTATTGCAGGTTTTAGTACATGTGCTGCTGATTGCTGAATTTGGGATTTTAGTCATTCTTGAGTTGTGCCAAATTCTCTACAAATCAATTTAACATGTTATTGCATTTGAACACGGGAGAAGATTTACTCATATTCTCCACATGTATAGTTAATTTGTAATTTTTTTATGTTTATGGAAGTAGAGATCACCCTTTTAACTTTGTGATCAGCAGAGAGAGGAGGTGATCATTGATAAAGAAATTTGTTATGCTGACTTGGAGTAATTTATGACCCCCTTGGATCACTTGAACAGTCAAGATACTTTAAAGCATTAAAATGCAGGACTTCTAAACATAGAGGATCCCAACCCTCGCAGACCACAAAGCCTTCTCCCCATTTCTAATGTCCGCCTGCATGTCAATTCTTTTTCAAGCAAATTCGAAGCTTCCATAAACATCCTATTCAACACAAATTAAATTCGTATTAAAAAAAAACACAAATTAAATTAATCAGTCTGAACCCAAAAATAAAATTCATCGCAGCGGACAGCAGACGGCGTTTCTCAATTCTAGTAGCCATATTCGAGTCTCGAGGCACCGATCATGAACTTAGGGTTCTATTGACCACGCCAATCTGTAAGTCTTTCCTTTCATTTCCATTGCCGTCAGCTAATTTCCTATTGTTGGTCGAGTCTCAATTTCTGGATTCTGTTTGTTTCCCGGGAAAATTCAAATTCTAGGAAGGGAAACCGTTTCGCGTTTCAATCATAAATCAATTATTTGTATTTGGATGGGATTGGTTGAGACAGAGCCTAATTGAACTGCTTTGTAATTAGTTGAATATAATTTGATTGTTTGGATTTAATTGAAGTGGAACTAACAAGTTTGACATACGCCCTTTTTTTATTGACATAAGAGGGTTGGATTGATTTCGTTTCAGCGTTGTTTCTTATTACTTATGATTTTTCATTTGTATCCTGTCCTGTGACTTTGATTGTTTCAAATTTTCTTCGGTTAGTGTATCTTCTCATGTGCTGCTTCAGTGAACATTGGGTTTGTTTGGTTGCTGGGAATTTTTGGGACATGAAAAGGGTCATTATTTTCTCAATGGTAGACTCTGAGTCATTTGAACAAGTAATAATGATTGCCAGAATAAGGTGCTTCATTAATTTCAATGGGGAATTGTTTATGAGGAAAGTGTCTACGCTAGAAAAGTTGGATGTTTGTTTAAAGCAGAAAGATTTTATTTCGGCAGAAACTGGTTCTTGTAGAAATTTCACAATTTTTTTTTTTCTTCAGACCCATGCGAGCATTAGAGCCTTTGTGGAAAAAATTTCCTAGACAAAAAAGACTGCTTAGGAAATGTTTTCTAAAGTAAAAGACTAGAAATATTTTCCACCTGATGTAAAGTTGAAGCAGAGGCAAAATCAGGAAAACATTCTCTTGAAATAATGTCCCTAAAGCTACCGAACAGTATTCACTAGAACTTTGTTCCTTAAACATCTATTTTATGTCAAGGAAATCAAGGGCAAGTTTAATTTCCTTCTTAAACTCTTTTGCAATACTAGAAATCAAAGCAATGTAAGTCGTGGAGCATAGAACTAGAATATAACTCCTGCTTCCTTTAAGTGTTTATGCTGATTGCTAACCAACTGAAGATTCTTGGTTTGTGATTTGTTTTTTTCTTGACTTGAATTTGAACAGGTGTAGTAGAACTGTGAATGATGTCAAGACCTGTGTTGCTTGTTTTTCTGCTTATTGTTCTCATAATCACTTCCCAGTTTGAGTGGAGGCAACCACTTGTGGTTGACCTTGACGCAACTCCAAGCATCTCCCAAAAGCAGAATCAGATCTCAAATAGGGAAGAAGCCGTAAAAGAGAAGGTGACAAGTCTCTTCCTAATTCCAGTTTTCTTTTTGTATTTGATTATAAAATGGAGATGTTTATTGTGCAAAATCTTTCTTGAACTTTATGATGAGCTGCGTATTGTATATTTTCTTTCATTAGCTGGAATGCTCGTTGATATTACGTGAAACGGAAATTGTATGTTTTTTATCAGTTAGTCTTAGTTAACTGCAAGCATGTGATTTCATTTGTTTGTGTTTCTTTTTTATCCTATTTCATTTCATAAGGTTTAAAACTCATATGGAAGTTGCAACCCGAACCCAATTACATCCCTGATTCTACCCCCAGCCCCAACAAAAACCACTTCGTGTTCTCCTTTCACTTCCCCTCTTAGCAAATGTGAGATCTAATACTTTAGTTTTGCTGTTCACTAACCACCAGCAATGTTTATTTCCATCCCCCTATTATTAGTTTGTGAGTAGATGAAGCTAGTTAACTTGCATCTGTAGCATTAACTAAAACAAGCATGAAGGTCTTCTCCTCGAGACAAAAACATTTATGTAGGTTTATTTTGACCGTATATAGATTGCTTGAATAAAATTGGAAAGCAATAAGGTAGTATCAAGAAAGAAGCATCTTTTGAGCGTAAGTCATAGTTATACATTCTCCACACTTTTTTTCCGTTAGTAGATTAGATTCCTATCCGTACTTCTGCTTTATTTGACCTGTAGGGGTCGTTTGGTACGGCGGATTATCATGGACTGGACTAAATCCTGGGACTATCTTGGATTAGCTCGGATTGGCCTAAACTGGATTAGGTACTGACCTACGTTTGGTGATGTGTCTGACTAAGAAGCTGGATTGTAAAAATAGTGAAGACCTATGTTTGGTGCTGTGTCGGATTAAAGAATAATTATTTTAATAATTAAATTTAATTAGAAATTTTAACCTATAAATAAATAAATAAAATATATAAAATTCTGATTTTTTTTTTGTCAAGCGTTTTATTTTATTTTTAAAAGATAAAATTTTATTCAGAGAAAGGAACCAACAAAGAGTGGATAAGAGATCCATCCACTTACAAGAGAAAAACAAAAAACAACTCAGCAAAAAGAAAAGGCATAAAAGAGAAAAAAGCCAACGCTACTAAAATCCATCCCTAGTCAAGCAGCAGCTGCCTTCCCATCTAAAATAAAACTGGAAATAGAAATGTTCCTAAAATCAGGAGAAGACGCCCACAAAGCAGCCCAGTATTCTTCTTTTCTTTATCTCTTCTCTCTCTCTTTTCTTTCTGTTATCGTTTTCTCCTTCTCGTTTCTTCCTCTTTCTTTCCTTCCGTCTTCTCTCTGTTTCTGGTTTCATTATTTTCTGCTGTTCTCTTATTTTTTGGAACTGCTATGAATTGGGCTTCTCAATGCTGGGTCTGTGCCGTGGCATGAGGGTGGTGGCCGTGGGGGAGAAGAAATCCCGGGGGGGGGCGGGGGGGGAGCACTGGGCGTTGGGTTCTGCCACAGTACGTCGATTGGGTCTGTGGTGGTGGGGTTTTGATTCAAGCCATAAGGAAATCCAGCCAGACTCGCGTGTTCAAAATAATATGCTCGCTATTTTGCGAGCTCTCTATATTAGACATGCGAGTCCTTTTTTTTTTTAACTGTTGGACTATAGAGTCTCATTTAAGGTAATCCCCTCCCTTGCCAAACATGGGTTTCAAGTGTTATTTAACACAGTCCAGTCTAGTGAGGCATACCAAACATGGCCATAAGGTTTATTTGACTTCCAGACTCCAAGATCATACTCCTGCTGCACATGTACAGCTTTCTTGTTATCCTGCTTTGTGACAACCATTGTTTTTGTTTCCATACAACTTTCTTCTTGCTCTGTATGGTTGGGGTTGAATGGGAGCAGTTGATTTTTACTATTTAGGTTCCTTGACTTTTTTCCCATTTGGATCGGAAACCAATGTAGGTTCCTTGATTGTCAACAGAAGAAATAATAGAGGGAGATAAAATTTAGAAGCTTACAAAGAATGGGGAGAAGTAGAACAAGAGGCGAGAAAAGCCAAATTAGGCTAAACTCTTTCTCTTTTGGCTGATAAAGTTAGGGTAAACTAAAAAAATTGTTTCCACATCAATATGCCAAAGTTAATACCCCATTACAATAAAGCTTATTTATATAGACAATCCCAACTTAATTAAATACTTATAATAAACACTGCATTAGTTAAACGTCACAATTAATTTCTGAATTCTAATCAAATATACATAATTTCTATTCTGGATTTTACGCTTAAAATGATCTCAATTCTCTGCATATATTGTCCTCAATTTATAGAAAAAAGCTCACAACTAGGCAATATTGTGTAGGGGCTTTCTTATTAATTTATCCAATCATTTTTGTGGTACTTGGTTTCTATGGTTTTTATCATTCTTTTAGTTTCCTTTATTTTTTTGGGTTATAGTGAGAACGCTTGGAATTCATGCATACATGTCTCCTTAGAACTGTTTTCCTCATACCATGCAAGGATAATGCATCAAAGAGCCTTATACAAATTTTCTCTAGGTTTCATGCTTTGGGTGACTTGGTAGTTAAGTTATGATTCCTATGCCCTATGGTTTCCTATGTGATGCCAGGAAATGACATTAGTCTCACCAATGTAGTCTTGGTTATCTTTAAACTGATACTGTCGCTTAGATGAGAGAAATGCTTACTCGGTGTATCTGAAATTGATAATTATGTACTGTGGTTTAAGTAAATTATTAATCTACACTAATGATTTGTTTCTAATCCATCTTCTAAGTGAATCTACATTGTTTACAAGAAGTTCTTCTGTGGCTTGTGTTGCAAGTGTCCCTCAAATCTAACACGTCTCACTTGTTATAGATCATATTATTGCAAGAAAAGAACATTCAGAGACTAAATGAGCTTGTTCGTAGTCTCCGGGAACAGTTGGTACAGTGTAGGAGCAAGACTCAGACCACAAATCACACTGTAAGCTTCCTAACTGAACGTCTTACTGAACTTGAACAACATCAGATATTCGAGGACTAGGTTGAGCCCATGGAAATATATGGCTAACACTTGTAATATGTTTGACCTGTAAAAACCTTTGTTTTTGACCAAGTTACACAATTTACAATTTACTTTGAGTAGAAAAAAAAAGAAAAGAATGGAAACTACTCATGGTGTCAGTGGCCTACCACACTAGGCAGAAGTTATTCAAATGTAAAGATCTCAAAGAATCTTGTTGTCAGAGCAATTATTTCTCTCGTTAAAAGAAATGTTATAGCCAGAGCAATTATTTATTCAAAGAAAGTTTTATTTATGCCTATGAGGGTTTAGTTTTAATTAAGAGAGATTTTTTGAGTGTTTATCTCCTCCTGAGCTGCTGCAGAGTATTTTAGATGAGGATAAGATTGGTCTTATGAGGCATAGAACTGTTTCTGTTTAGTTTAGTTTTGGGCTCTGCCCCTATTTTACCCAAAAAAGAAGAAGAAAACACAGGGATGAGAGATATGTAGAAAGAGAATGCACAAAACAATTTCTATCTAAACTACAAAAATCTACCTAAACTCTTAGGTCAGACTAGCCCCGAATTTATCAACATTTTCAAACTCTCCTCAACTTCCCGACAACCATCCGAGCAACACACCGCCACAAAACCCAGCACTCCCCGCAGTTTCCCTCTCCCCAGCCCACATTCCCCATCGCCTTAGTCATTTTCTTTGAAATTACAAATCTGGATCTGGGTCTTTTTCGTTGTTTTTATTCTCTTGGATTTGATTTCAGTTTTGTTGCCATTTTGGGGCTCATTGGATGGTGCGGTAATGGAACAGGTTGCAGCAAATATGTAGCATCATCATCCCTTGGGACCTGCTCCTAAGCCACCTACTACTTTAGAAGGCGAACTGTGTCATGTATTTCATCATCAAACTCACTTCTAATGGACTTCCCATCTATTTGTGGTGGGTTGTTTAGCTGCTTCATCTCATTCTTCATAAATCACATATTCAGTAGAAAACGAGACATCACCCCAAAAGCCAAATGACTATTAATATGCAAAGCAAGAGGAGGTTACTATAGTACATTTACATCTTCAGCCCCATGTCTGCATAAGAATCAACAATAACACACCAAATTTAATTGTATAGCTTTCATATATATCATATATAAAACCTCAAAGGATCTAAATAAGCTCTTACACAAGCATTCTTGTCATCTTTCACGGTGAAGATTCAATGCGGCTTGGTTCGTCTCTGATTTCATAATTTTTCTGTTTGATTTAGCCAGACCACCATCAACATGTTATTAACAACTTTCAAAATTGATACAAAACTTAAATCAACGAAAGGATTACATTTTCATATCTAATATGACTAAAAGCCCTTGTTCCAGAATATTATACTTAGACCATGTACATTATCTGAACCATTCATTTTCTAAGTCTTCATTCAAAGATCATTTTTGCGAAGGGATCCGCTCGAACTGAGAAACCATTTAGCCATTTGGTTAGCACTTCAGTGCGACTGGTTGTAGTAGTAGTTCAATTTATGCATTTACTTTTACTACGCAGGGTGGAGTCTCTTTCAATGCCACAGATTCAATGAACCACTTTTTCTTTCTTCTTTTTTCACCCACTTGATCAATGAAATTAATAAGGAATTTGTTTACCGTTGTCTTCAAAACTTAAACGAGGTAAAACAACAACCATTTTAATGTCTGATTGGTTGTTAAAACATCATAATTTCAGTTAAAAGTGACTGCATCCAGTCCAGTCCAATCCGGCAGTGGAGGTTAATGCATTGCAGTTGAGGCTGACCGGACATAGTAATGTCATACCACTAGTTCCCAGCAATTATATGCCACCTAAATAAACGGGTTTATTTTTGCTCATCACTTTAACCCAAGGTGTATTCTCACAATCAATCTCAACACTTGACACATATCCCTTGGTATAACCATAGTTAAATACTTACTTTGTATTTATGCAACCATGATTATATAAAAGACACGTGTCAAATGTTAAGATGGGTGATGAAGATACATCTTGGATTAAAGTAATGAGCAAAAATGCTCCCAAAATAAACCCCCTCCTCTCCATCTCAACCAAACCCCATCCTAGGGGGTTTGTGACACATGACACATGCCATGATTTATTTTATCATTTGAAATTACTTACGTGTAAAGACTCGGCTTAACATGGCCTAAGCTACATATTTGAACGGCTAATCAACACACACTGGTCCATCAACAGTTTATTGACTCGACTTTCAAAGGCACTAACAGTTGTAAGCTTGTTAATGGTCAAATTCTAAAATTTTGGATCTCCTAATCAGCCACAAACTTGTCTATCATCTTAAAAACTTGGTTGAATTTGTGACACGATCTATAAATCTTCCTAGTCATATCACAAAAAGTCAAGTCTCCAGTAGATAAAAATATATTGTCTAGTTATAACCTTTTTAAAGCATTTTGGCAGGTTTGTTGAAATATATTCAAAATTTTGAATTTTCTATCCCTCAGAAAAAATAAATGAAAAAGGTGAAAAAGGCAGCAGAGAGAATATATGGAAATATAATTTATTTATTTATATTTTTTGCTGTGATTTTAAATACACACACCAAACCCACCAGCCTAGCTAAATGAGGATACATACATACATACATGCCAATGCCATGATTTATTATAATTTCCCGCACACATTCTTCCACCAAATTCTCCTTATTCTCCTTTCTTCGATTTCCATACATATTAATCAACCATTAAAGTTGACCCAAAAACTCTACCTCCCTCTTAAATTCATGGCCTTAGAGGTCCAAAAGTAGAACACCAAACCCATATATTGATGGGTACTCTTTGCCTAAATGCCCTTATCTTAGTACGTCTCCAGCTATATATAGCTGCGTACCTTTCCATATATTCACCAAACCATTCTGATGACTCTCTATCTCTAGCTTCAATCTTGTTTTTGCCTGCCATATGTAACACTCCTGGTGAAGCCTCAATTTGTACTTGATTAATTAAGGTAAGGCATTGGTCTATTATATCATGTTTAAAAAAAAATTACGACAGTTTAATTAATGTCCTTGTGTACTAATTTGTTTTTGAAAGGTGAGAGATAAAGATGAGCAGAAGAGGAAGTACCAGTCCAAAGCTTGAATTGAAGCTAAACCTGTCTCCTCCAAGAGCTCACTCACCAATTGGCTCCCCGAATGCCTCCGAATCATCCTCGAACATGTCGATGGACCGCGGCTCTTGCGTGTCATCGGAGCCTGAACATCAGACGATGTACTACCAGAGCAGCCCTGAAGCGAAGGCCATGGTGCTTGCGGGGTGTCCACGGTGCCTCATGTATGTCATGCTATCTGATGCCGATCCGAAGTGCCCCAAATGCAAAAGCACAGTCTTGCTCGATTTCCTTATTAACGAAGAAAGCACCAAGAGGACAAGAATATAAGGAGGAACATGGCTTGCTTTTTGTTGTTCTCATGGCGAAAGCCAGTACAATATTTTGTCAGCCTTTTGAGTAACTGTTGAAGTTTTTTGGTTCTTGTGGTTAATTACGTCTTTTTCTTTTTCCCTTGTCCCCATTTTTTTATTTCCTTTGTTTTGCCCCATCCAGTTGATTGCCATTAGGTTCAAGTAGCTACCCAGAGTTAGATTGTGAAATTTCCTTTTGTAGGTTTTCTTTTTTCTATATGCATGCATCAAATCAAACGTTGTGCTTTCTTGTTTAGTGGTAATGGTTCTGAAGATGTTATAGAATCCGACTCTTTTTCTCAATCATCAAATCAGACAAGGTTAGTGAGTTCTACAGAAGTGTCTTGTAATATCGTAACTTCACACAGTCACACTACAAGAAATTTGAGGCAAATAGTTCAGAAAAATAGTTTGTTTTAAAAGCTTTATCAGTTTCAACCCAATAGTAGTAAGGATGTAATTATCATGGATTTCTGCTCAAATGTGGAACTGGGTTTTTATCCCACTTCATGTATTAGCAGGTTTCTTGACATAATGCAATAAAGTCAAACTAAAACAAAGAAGACCCAAAGTATAGTGCTTGCTGAAATAGGTAGATCACACAATTAATTCTTATTCAATGTTATAAGTTCAGAGTAAATACGGCAGGGCCATGTAACCGGCCATTTCTCTCATTATCGGTTCCACCAATTTTATCCATCAATGTCAATGCAGAACCGTTACAGTGGTAGTTGGCCTAACTTCTCTAATATTCATGTTGTTGAATATCATATTTCCGGAACCTAACTTGAGCTTCAATTTGCCGGGGGCTAGTAGCTGAAGTGGTTAAGTTATTCCTGCACCCGAGGTCCTATGTTTCGAGAGTTCAATTTTCATGTGCCCAATTTCCCTGTGCCTTTCTGTTTCTTTCTTAATATTTCGCCACTTGTCCCACACTTAACAGAGAGATTACGACGGTTAACTCAAATTGATACTGAAGAATAAAACAAATATTGAAAAGAGAACTTTGTTTTTAATATGTACTCTTCATCTTCTTCCTCTAGCTTTCTAACCACCCAATGAGAAAAACCCACGGATCAAAGTTCAAACCCCTCCCAATCCTTTCAGAAGTTGAAACAATAATAAAGCCCAAATTGGCACTCTTCCACCGTGTTGATCCAAAAACACCAACTTTGGATTCACCGTACGTCCTTTTTTTTTTTTCAGACAACCGTATGCCATCCCCTTCCCCTTGTAGCAAAAATTTACAGTTACCGTACATGGCAGAAAAATATAATTTTCTGTTTCCATTTTCTGATAAAATAGCAGAACTGAGAACTAAAATGGAGGGCTCATAACCATGCATGTTTGTGCCAAGCCAATGAGTGTATGTTTATCTGCTTGTCCTTGTTTATCCACAACCCTATTAATTACAACGTGGCTACTATAATTGTGTCAGAACAACTCAAAGAAATAAGATTCGACTTGAATGGACAAACCTACACTTTTCTTTCCCCTTTTACTGTGTTTATTAGGGAAATGAACAGCTGTCATTCCAATTCGGGTGAAACTTTCAATATTTAACAACCAGGCCCAGCTCTGACATTTTGGTGGCCCATGGCCAAAAATTAAACGAGGCCCTTAGTATATAATTTTTTTTTAAAAATTTGCTCATTCCTTTTTCTTTTTATGAATATGAAGCAAAATCCCACTGCTTAAATAGAATAATTTCATTCAACCAACAAAAAAAAAAACCAAAAGTATATGATCCATAAACAACAAAAATCATATTTAGGGGCATAGAGCTTCTAAAATTTCAGCAAAACAAAACAAAAGTTTTTAAGTGGCTCTTCCATAGGGCTTAGTTCTCAAGTGGCTCAATTGTACACAAAAAGCTCCTTTGACTTCCACTTCATCATCTACAACCTCTTCAAAATTCTTGATCTTCTTGATCTTCATTGAAAAATTCTTGATCTTCTAGCATTTTGAGAAGCAAAATCATCAATAACCTCTTCAAAATCAATATTTTCCAACATATTCTTTTCAATACATAAGATTGCCAATCCA